TTTTTCTCTCATTTTTTTCTCCAAAATAATATTACCTTTTACCTCTCTCCTCCCTCACTTTACCCTTTACCCACGCATCTCTCTCTCCCATTCCCGACGAGACCCAAAAATTACTGCAAGAGGACTCACAGTCCACAGGGGTACTCACGGCCCGAGCTCCGTCCCTCTTCCTAGCGCTCTCTCCCGGCCCAAGCTCTCTCCCTCTCCCTCTTCAAAAGATTTTTTGGCCCGAGTCCTACCCCTCTCTCTCTCTCTTCCACTGACTCATCTAAAAGCAATACGTAACTCATCTAAAAGCAACACGTAACTCCAGTTCCCCTTATTATTAACTAACATGTAACACTACCCACCAGCCAAAAAAAACAAAAAAAAGGGGGTTGAGGGATAGAGAGAGAAAAAGGTCCGACAATCTATGAAGGCGGTCCACAAGAAAGAGTATATAGAGTCACAGGGCTCAAGCACTATGTAAGTGAAGTCCGGCAGTGGAACACTTTGGAATCACAGGCTTCGACACTGTGTAAATGCAATCTGATAGTATAACACTTTGGAATCACAAGACTCTGGCACTGTGTAAGTATGGTCCGGCCCTGGAATACTATAGAGTCATAGGCCTCTGGAATGTGTAAGTGCGATTTGGCAGTGGAATACTCTGGAGTCATAGAGTGTTGACACTGTGTAAGTGCGGTCCGACAATGTGCTACTGGATCTGAAAGTCAACGTCAAATCTGGCCAAATTGATTTTGGTATACGAGCAAGGCATTTCCATCTAAAAAAAATGAATTTTTTTCCTTGTGGGTATTTATATAAAAAGTTTATTTTAGAGAAAAAAATGAGAGAAAAAGTTAGGTCGGTGATAAATTGCTTAGAAAATATAGTCACGAGGGTTTTTTTGTAATTTTCTATTTTTTTTTTTTAATGTATCTTATTTTTTCAATTATTATATCCATATTTATTCCTTTTTGTTAAAATCTGAACCTAACCCCTCACTAATTTGATAGACAATCCGAATCCTAAAAACATTATACTTAACACGTTGAATTCTTGGCAAAGTACATTACATAGTACATTGAATGTTTTTAACTGGACCTAACCTCACTCTGGTTGATAGCCCGTTTGAATCTTGATAACAACTATACTTTTTTAACACATTGAATTCCTGGTACACTACATGGCATAATACAGTGAATGTTTGTTTGGCTTCCATTCATTTATTAATGAACATGCTCCCACGATGCTTCCATGAATGACCTCAGCCTCCCTCCCCTCTCTCTCTCATATCAATTTTATTTAATTTTTCATCTCGCAGTTGTTGATGTCCATCTTGTCATCTGATATATTTTTCACTCTCCTTCCCACCAAAAGGAAATCTTTCATTTGATATTTATTTTCCCCAAAATTTCTTTCCACTGATATATAAATGTTTTTATGTTTCTTGTATCGTACTAGGTTAGGAAAAATTTACAATAAGACTATTTATTTTTTGTACGAGGTCATAGTACTAGCGGCCATTCGATTTAAAATAAGACAGTTAAAGATGTGAATTACTAAGCTCAAAGTTGAAAAGAAAAACTCTCAATCTTTGCAATACATCCTAAGCTTAGGAAATGACATCTAATGGTCTAGAGTGATTGTGATTTTCTTGTGCCAAAAAAAATTGACCTTATAGTATACAATCCTATTTGATTAATAGAAGAATTAGAGCCCTTTCTTTTTTTTTCTTTTTTTTTTTTCCTTTTTTTTTTAATGGGGGATTGGGGGGAAGACTCAATTTGCAGTAAGAGAAGCCTCATGAAACCTCTTTTACAAACGAGGCTTATCTACCCAGAAAAAGAAAAAGTATTTACATATAGTAAAACAAAAAGAAGTAATTCTTTAATTTTATATTTGAAGGTAAAATGACTGCAAAAAGGAAGCAACAATGGATATCTGAATCCTGTGTGCTGTATATTTTTGGCAAAAATCCTATACTCATCAAAAGAAGAAACCGAAAGATCCGAACTCTCTCTCAAAGAAACGAAGAAATAAAAAAAAATCCAAACTACCTCGCTCCCTCTAGTCTAGAGAGAATTTATCTCTATCAAATTCTCCTTGGAGCCCTTCAACTTTTATGTAAAAATATCCGCCCTATATTATACCTCAACTTTATGTAAAATAAGATTATAAAAATAGAAAAATGATCCTATAGGACCCTCCCCCGTCCATGTGTATAGGACCTTACAGGATCACCATTAAATTTGGTACGGATCGTTAGAAAAGTCAAGTCTCACATTCATGTGATAACTTTTCTAGATATCCATGTCAAATTTAATGATGATTTCTTGGAGTCCTATACACATGAGTGGGGGATGACCCCATAGGATCATTACTCAAGAAAATATCCACCCTCCATTCTGAGGATTAAAGTTGAAAAATTAATATGGAGCACTTGCATCGGCCTAGAATCAACATGAACCGTCCAAAATTAATTCGAGATTATGCTTTGAGGAAGTATCATTTCAAAGTGAGCCTCTTCCTTTATAAGATTTGGTCGGTGCCTTTGAGATGCCTACAATTTTACAGCTGATAGCGTTCATATACTTTTAGAGAGCACGTGTGAACCAAGAGGGTGGGTCAATAGAAGTACTAAGCCAATTTATAGAGAGAGAGAGAGAGAGAGCACGCGCTTGGACCTATGGCGTGGTCAGCAAAAATTTTCGTCTAAAAGAATTGAGTCCATGGGTCATTGGTAAAAGTCTCTCTCTCTCTCTCTTCGTTCTCTTTCTGTACTGGCCATGATTTTGAATTATATGCATGGATCTCTCTCTCTCTCTCTTAGCGGTATTGAATCTTCTCTTGACTTACTGGTTTCTAAATATTGGTAGATCCTCTCTGTCTCGGACGGGTTTCCAAACATGGGTGTCTTACTGGAACTCTCTCTCTCTCTTACAATAGTTGCTCAACCAGAGGAATCAAGAGGGGATTTAACCAGTGCAGATCAGCAATGGGTACCTTAATTGGTCTTATTCAAGATATAAAATTGAGTTCAGTCTAAAATTGGTAAAAGCTATTGTTTGATTGGTGTTTTGTGTACATACTAGCTATTTTTAACTAGTTTGAGTAACCAAATGAAGTTTGGCAAAACATTTAAAGGAAAAATTACATAAAACCTCTAAGATGCAATTTATCTCCAACTAGTCTTTTTCTGTCGCTTTTTTTCTCCAAAATAATATTTCCTAACAAATACCCTCCAACCATCTTTAATTTTTTTTTTTTTTTTTTTAAAAACTAAAACAAAAACAAAAACAAAAATGAGCTTTACCCCTTACCACTCTCCTCCCTTAATTAACCTTTTGCCTTTTACCTCTTACCTTTTTATACACGCCTCACGAGACCTAAAAAATTATTGCAACAGGACCCACAGTCCAAAGATGCACGCACGGTCTGAGCTTCCTTCATCTTCCTCGCGCTCTCTCCCGGCCTAAGCTCTCTTCCACTCCCTCTTCCAAGGATTTTTTTGGCTCGAGTCATACCCCCTCTCTCTCCTACTGTCTCCTTGAATCCACGGCCCGATCTCTCTCTTTGTAAAACAACTATCAATTTTTTCGGCCCAGCCTGAGCTCAATTTTTAGCTCGATCTTTCAGCTCCAAATCAACCAAAACAAGAGAGGTTGAGGGACAGAGAGAGAAAAGAGTCCAACAATCTATGAGGGCGGTCCAGAAGAAAGAGTTCTTGGAATCACAGCATTCTGGCACTGGTAAGTGCAGTCTGGCAATGGAACACTCTAGAGTCACGGGGCTAAAGCCCTGTGTAAGTGCAGTCTGGCAATGGAATACTCTAGAGTCGCAGGGCTAAAAGCCCTGTGTAAGTGCAGTCCAACAGTAAAACATTTTGGAATCACAGGGCTCCAACACTGTGTAAGTGCGGTCCGATAGTGGAGCACTCTGGAGTCACAGGGTTCCGGTATGTGTAAATGCGGTCTGACGGTGGACAAAGCACTCCGGCACTGTGTAAGTATGGTTCGGCAGTGGAACACTCTAGAGTCACAGGGCTCCAGCCTGTGTAAGTGCGCTCCGCATTGGAATAATCTAGAGTCACAGAGCTCCAGCACTATGTAAATGCCGTCGAATGCTACTGAGGTTCGAAAGTCAACGTCAAATCTCGACAAAGCGATTTTTGTGTACGGGCAAACATTTCCGTCTAAAAGAATGAACTTTTTTCTTGGGAGGTATTTGTATAGAAAATTTGTTTTTGGGGAAAAAATTGAGAGAAAAAGTTAAGTCGGAGGTAAGTTACATAAAAAGTGTAGTTTTAGGATTTTTTTTTTTTGTAATTTTTTTTTTTAATGCATCTTATTTTTTCAATTATTATATCTATTACATCGAAAGTTTTAACTAGACCTAACCTCACTCTGGTTGACAGCCTTGATAGCAACTATACTTAGCACATTGAATTCTTGGTACAGTACATGGCATAATATGTTTGGCTTCCATTCATTTATTTATGAACATGCTCCCACGATGCTTCCAGGAATGGCCTCAGCCTCCCTCCCCCTCCCCTCTCTTCCCTCTCTATCTCCCCCATATCAGTTTTACACTTTTACTTGATTTTTCATCTCGCACTTGTTGTCCATTTTGTCATCTGATATATTTTTCACTCTCCTTTCCACTAAAAGGAAATATTTCATTTGATATTTATTTTCCCCAAAATTTCTTTCCACTAATATATAGATGTCTTCTTGCTTCTTGTATTGCATTCGGTTAGGAGAAATATACAATAAGGCCATTTATTTTTTGTATGAGTTCATAGTACTAGCGGCCAGCGGCCATGAGACTTAAAATCAGACAGTTGAGGCTGTGATTTACTAAGCTCAAAGTTCAAAAGAATAAATTTCAATCTTTGCAATACATCCAAAGCTTTAGGAATTGACATCTAGTGGTTTAGAGTGATTGTGATCTTCTGCCTAAGAAAATTGAGCTTACAGTACACAATCCCATTTGATTAAGAGAAGCCTCACGAAACCTCTTGCAAACGAGGCTGATCTACTCAAAAAAGGAAAAAGCATTTACATATTAATAAAACAAAAAGAAGTAATTATTTTCAATTTCTATTTGAAGGTAAAATGACAGCAAAAAGGAAGCAACAACGGATATTTAAATCCTGTGTGTTGTATATTTTTGGCAAAAATTCTGTACTCATCAAAAGAAGAAACCCAAAGATCCAAACTCTCTCTCAAAGATACGAAGAAATAAACAAAAAATCCAAACTCCCTTATAATTTCAACCTCTCTTTATCTCTAATCTAGAGAAAATTTATCTCCATCAAATTCTCCTTGGATCCCTTCACAGCCATCAAACTCCTTCATACCCACTAATGCCTCCACTGACTCTTCACCAGACATGAAGCCATCCTCTAAGAATTCACAATCCTCCAAAGACAACCTCGTGAGTGTTTCTATGAAGAAACAATTGGGGTCCAAACTCTCTCTCCTCCTCTCCTTCGAATTCTCAGTTTCATTACCAAGGATCCGCGTCTTCTCGGAAGTCTTTCCTCTAGGCAAAAAACGAGAAACTGTCGAACCAGAAGAGGAGGTGGAGGCTATCTTCTCCTTCCTTCTCTCGCTGGATTTTCTCTCACTTTCTCTCTCTGAGATCAACTTCTTCTTTGGCTGAAACTCTAGTTTTACAGGTTTTGATTCAGGCCACCATTTGGCCATTGAGTTGTTTTGTTTGTTGCTGGTAGCTGGTGATAAGCATGTATAAACCCACACTATATTATGGCACCAGTAAGAATCGGGATCAAATGGCCAAAAAAGTGGCTCTTCAATATCTAAGCATTCAAGTCCAAAATCGGTTTGCCCTAGAGAGAGGTCATCTGAAGAAGACTTCACATTGGAGAGAGATAAAGCACTAGAATCAGAACACCCACATTGTGAATTGTAATCGAAGGAGCAAGCGGCGTTCGGGAGACTATACTGGAAGAGAGAGAAACCATTTTCTTTGTTGGAAACCCATTCGAGATCGTTAGCGTTGAGGTCTAGAAACGAAACACGGTCAAATTCCTGCACCCCCAAAGATGAATCATCAAATGTAGAGAGAGAATCGCATCCAGAGAGAGAAGACCATGAACTGTCGAATGCTGAGTCATCATCATCATGAAATGATTGCTCAAGAGGAGATTCAGAGCTCTTGCTACATATTAAGAAATGATTGCTTAATTGAATTGGTGTACAATCATCAGGATGAGATATTTCTTCTTCATCTTCTTCAAGAACCAAGTTCAAAGACTCATTCCATTGGTTTTCTAGTAAGAGAGAAGCCTCCTCAATAGGGTTGAACCTAGACCCATCAAAGAAGACCTCCAGATTGTTTGATCCTAATATTGAATCCCAGGCATCGCATAAAAGAGGATAGTCTGAACAAAAATCCTCGAAATTATAGCTATTCTTCGTGTTCCTATCAACTATGAGAAGAAAAGTTGAATCTTCAGTCTCAACTAATTTTTCTCCAGAAAAAGGAGCTCTGGTCTCAAAATCATCCTTTCTAACAGATTTTACAGATGTGGTTTCAATCTCTGAGTCATAAGGAACCACAGAAGCTCTTTTCCTTGGTTTACGAGCAAGACCCATCTAGATGCAACTGTCAAACCAAATGATACCTGTCGACCGTTAACTTAATTCCATTTCCATTTCGGAGAGCATATTCATCTTCTCTGACTCAATGGAAATAGGAAGTGGGTCTTAAACAAAGCCTTTTTCCCTCACTAATTTAAGTCTCGAACTAGAGATCGAAAATAGGTATTTTAAAAGGGAACTGGAACAGTATCCCTTTGGTTGAACTTTTGGCACCGCAATAACCCAGTTCAAGAGGCCTCAATTGTTCTTCAACTATGCGATCCACTGCATTGAGTAAAAATGGAAGGAAAAGGGAACTTTCCTTTTATGAATTGGTTCACAAAGTGAATTCGAAAAACTCGGTGGAGGGGGAGAAGTTGGTTACTGTGACCTGCACATGGTTAGTTCGTTTGTGGTTAAAGACAATCTAAATTCAACCATTTCACCTAATCAGAATCCTGACAAACCCAAAAGACAAAAAATGTAGGGAGTCAAGGAAGGACAATGGATATGGTAACAAAAAGGTTGACAAGAACAATAAAATTTGACCAGGTTTTTTCTTTTTTGTATTGTTGAGAAGAGGATCAAACAAAGACTAGGATAAAAGAAAGAGCATGTCAAGTTGACACAGAATCAACGGTCAGAAAACTCTTTATCAATAGAGGTTGCCTCAGGTTTTGGATAAAGAAATTTCCTGATATAGACATAGAGAACTAGACAATTCAGTCGAAGTTGAAACAAAAAACACTAGGTCTAGCACAACAAAGCAATATGATAAAAAACTAGGGGAAAGACAGCAAAAAAATGGATTTCATATGATGCAGCAAAGAGTACTAAGAGATAGGAATTAAAATTTCAGTGCATCATGAAATGTGAAGATAAAATAAATATTTTATAGGAAAACTAATATTAAGGATAAGTAGAGCATCAACTAATAAGGGATGTGAGAAGGGATATCAGGTCCCAATCAAAATATAAAAGATTATAAGCAAGAAAAAATCTAGAGGAAGAAGCAAAACAGGACACGGTCAATAAACCAAATAATATAGGCATTAATATATATTGTACATCCTTTTGAAAGTTGTACGTAAGAAGGGGTATTTGATAAAGACATCAGAGTTTGCAGTTTCTTTTATTAGTTCTTTTAATATGTCAAATATCAAAGTTTTATGTCACACAATTAAAAACAGATAAGGGAAGGTTGCCAAGAAAACAACTTACATAAACTCGATGAAACCATTGAACATCTCGTCCTATTGCACACAGGAACCTATATACTACAATACAAATTGCCGTTCCTGGCACACTGAAAGAAACAATCAACACTAAATAAGTTAATGTCAATTATACCCACATTTAGCCTTATTTATAAACATATAAAAATCTGGATGTGCCTCTAAAAAGGTAAAAAATGCATGAACTTTTGAATTACAACCAAAATCGATAATCTTAAGCCTAATGTCCTGGAATAATGAAAAGAAGGCAAAAGCAAAGGGAAAAAACTGTTTAATAGAACACACAGGAATGTGAATAAAGCATCAAAGGAGAATGGAATAACTGATTTTACCTTAAAAGTTTTTCCAATTTGAATTGAAACTTTTAAAATAAATGATGGCTAGACCTATATCATCAAATTTGAGCAAAATATGGCACACATTTTTGCATAACTTGGAGGAAAACTTATAAAATACCTTAATCTTTTATGGAGAATGATAGTAAAGACAGTCAAATGCCAAAAACATTCAGAAAATCTTTAAAATTTATAGAGAAAAAATATTGGTGCCAATAATAGACCAAACTTTGTTTTTTTAGTGGGGATTTGGGCCCCTATCCCTTGGTGAGAATAACTTACTCTTAAAAAAATACAGTATTGATGATTGGACATCAATTGAATCGCCTTTAAATGTATTGTTAAATATGACGCTTTCTAGCAAATCCTAGTACCAAAGGGAGAATCATTCACATAATACCAGTACTGACACAAAACTGTTTGAATTTTCTTAAGATGCTGAAAGTCTGAAACTTTAGCATGAACACAAAAAAGTGATAGATTTAAATAGCAGAAACATTATCTGATTGTTCAGGAAAACCATGAGACATTATCAGGAAAACCATAAGATATTATCAAGAAGGCATTTATGACAACAATTCTAACCGGAATACCTAAATTTTCCAATGATAGTTGAAAAGCCTAAAAAGCTCAAATTTTGCTCCAAACTACATCGCAAAAATTGATAAAATCTCTTTTTTTTTTTATAACAGAAACTATATAATGAAATTCAATATCATCAGACAAATGGCAACATTATACCCTAAAAGAATTGTATATAATGAGATTGTGACCTTTCATACACAAAGGTCACAAACACCTCAAGATGTTAGATTTAAAATCCAACAGCTGGGGCATGTCATTTATACGTGATACATACAAAATAAGTGGAAATTTTTCTCAGACCATTAAGTACCGTCAGTGGTACTAATCCAGTCATCCAATTTTTTTAAAGAAAGAATCCAGTCACCCAATTTTATAGGTTTTATATCTGATGGTTAGGGGTGATTGTAACATTTATGTTCCAAAGGTAAATGATCATATCGTGTACAACTATTTCGAAGCTCTCCTCAGGCCAGGCATACAGCCCTGGCTGGAGGTGGGTTCGAGTGGACTTACCCGAGTACTGTACAGGGACAAAGGTCCTTGAGTTTTCTTAAAAAATAGATCAAATATTAAAAATAAAATAAAATTAGTAAAGGTTAATAAAACCAAAAACAACCAAAAAAATCCACATAAGCCTGGAAAAAGTATATAAAAATGGATTTAAGACAATTGATTAATTGGGGACATTTTCTAAAAAATCCAAAGAAAGGGATAATAAAGAACATGGAATATGGCAAAAAAAAAATCACCAACCTTTGCCAATAAATATATATATATATATATATATAAACAATCTGTACAACAATCGCACATTTTTCTCTTTTTTTCTTTTGGATTTTTTTTATGTACCCTGAGTCGTACATAAAAGTTGGGGTAACTCAGCCAGTCGCAAGACACTGTCATGTACGTCCCCTAATCTAATCTAAATATCAAAAAATTTCCAATAATGCAACAGCTTTAAGGCCTAGATACCTCAAATTTTGCCCCAAAATTCGACACAAAAATTGACAAAAGACCAAATTTCGTATCAGAACGGAAACTGCGAAAAGTAGAAACATAGATATTTCCTCAAATGCACCAAAAATATGCAGCAATACTATTCGCACAATTAACATCAACTTCATGTTTCCATAATAATTGATCATGAATTTTGGAAACGTATCTGTAATATTAATATTTTTTGTTTGAAAAATACAATTTAGAAGTTAGAACAGCTGGTCTTTCTTATGAAAATAATATACAGAGCTTCTCGAGGAAAATGCAAAATTGATAAAAATTAAAACAGAAGTTTGACGTAAAATTACAATACAACTAAATCATGCTCCTTAATAATTACTATAAAAAATCGAACATAATAACAGTAGATAATAATGATGATGATAATAAATGAATAAATGGAGGGAGAGCACAGAGGAACAACCTCTATTGAACAGATTATACTCTCTTTGAGATGTTTCAGAGTGCTTTAGTAGAGTAGGGCTCGTCACAGGGATAGCAATGAATCAATCTCAAAGCCCTGAGTTATCAGTAAACCTGTCCTTTCTGGAACCGCACCATAGCTGAAATGCTTGTAGATCCAGTAATGGAGCAGAGCTCTTTCTTCTTCTTGGGTTTGAAGATGGAGGAGCGCCCAAGCTTAGGAAAGTACCCTCTGAGGCTTTCTGCGTTTTCTAGGGCTCGTGTTTCTAGGGTTTGCAATCAAGGTTCTCTCTCACTGGTTCTCTGAGCAAAGAACAAGGAGATATGCACGTCGGAAGACAGCGTGAGTTTTAGAGAGAGAGAGAGAGAGAGAAGGCGTCTGGGTCCATTTCGCGCGCATTGTTTAACGCGCGTTCTTTATTAATGGTGGGCCCGCGCTCTGGTCCTCCATATTTTTCCCTCTAATGTGTTACAAGTTACCATATATATATATTTCTTTTGGGACTCAATTTTTTTTTTTTAATATATTTATACATCTGAGATGATCGATTACATATTTTTCTTACACCAAAATAAGTTTTTCAAAAAAATTTAGAGGTCCATCTCAATTTACATTTTAAGATGTTCACCTTCTATAAACTTTTTCTTTCAAAATTTGTTGAGAAAGCTGATATTTTACGTTTCTTCCTAAAAATTCTTTTATAAGAAATTCGTTGGTAAACACCAAACATTTGGTTGAAACTACTAGTAATTGACCTATATCCGACTTAGGACCGGGGTAGATCTGTTCCGTGTCCATATATGGGTCTAAAAATTAGACCCAATTCAAGTTAGGATTCAGTTAATCGGGTCTAGTAATATTTTTTGAATCCCAATATATAAAATAAATTTAATTTTAGTTAAACACAGGACCCTACAATTTAAAAATAGAATAAGTTTCTATAAGTCGGCAACCTCATGCTATTAAAAGTAAGACATCTAAAAAATTAGACCCAATTCAAGTTAGGATTCAGTTAATCGGGTCTAGTAATATTTTTTGAATCCCAATATATAAAATAAATTTAATTTTAGTTAAACACAGGACCCCTACAATTTAAAAATAGAATAAGTTTCTATAAGTTGGCAACCTCATGCTATTAAAAGTAAGACACCTAAAAAATTATTGGCAAAGGTTGTTCGGACGTCTAAATTCCTATAATTTATCATCTCGAATTTGAGATATATATATATATATATTTATAGATATATGAAGTCTTGAAAATAATTAATCTTACAATATATTTATATATTTATATGCATCGTCTATTTTCAAAAATTCTAACTATTCATAGATTTATTATTTCCATTATTAGACTGAAACATAGATTTCATATCATTACATAATTTTTCGACACCAAAACATCTTTCATCATCATTTAGGGTGTAGCTTACTTCGATCATTTAAGGCTTCAACGTAATCCAGACCGCACCCTTTAAAAATCAAAACTTTTTAGGAATTCAAAGTATTATGAATTTTAACTTAAACTAAATAATAGTTCGAAATGTTGTTTTAAAATAGACTCGGATCAGGAATCCTTGAAAGTGATTCGATGCGTCCATGATGTGGATTATGTACCCTCGAATTCACCCTATTTTTATTTTATTTTATTATTATTATTTTATTCCGATAATCCAAATCGGCCAATTGCTTACTTCATAATAAGTTATGACCACGTTGTAGTTTCCAATCCTACTTACCCCAACCAACTAATAACTTCTAAAGTAGGTTTCATAATAAGTTATCACTACGTTATGGTTTCCATTCTTACTTACCCACCCCACTAAAGCTTTAAAAAAAAATAACTTCTAAACTAATTGAAAAAATCCGAAAAAAAAAACAAACCTAGCCTGACCCAAACCCCGAGCCTAAATTTTAGGCTTGAGACCGGTTGTCAAGCTAAATCTAATAACCCAAACCTACTACTTTTCAAACTAAATCTAGTGACCCATCAGCCCTACTATTTTTCATAACTTATTCTCCTTAGCAACCCTGATACGTAGTTAGCACTTTGCCGATTTAATCACGATTTTTTCAAAAAAATTGGTGTTTTTTTTTTAAATAATTTAATATATGACTTTTTCAATAGATCGTTAAGAATACATGATCCTTTCATGAAGAAGTCTAACACGTGACTTTTTCAAATTTTGAAAAAATTGTTTCAATTTTTTTTTTATTAATATGCTCTTTTTTTCTTGTTCTTTTTTTTTAAAGTTCAATACTTTTTTTCTATTTTATGAAATTTATATTTTTATATCTATTTTTATTTGTATTCTCCCAAAACTTTTTCTGGTTCTCTGCAATGGATATGGTGCATATTTTTTCGGGTAGTTATGGGTAGACCATAGTTAGCACGTATGAATGGACTATTTCTCTCCAGAAAGATGAATACTGAATTCACCTACCCAATACTTATCTTGATGAATAGGATAGATAACTTTAGAGATATATCACATTGAATATTTGAAATTTTATATTTATAGGGAGGTAATTTTTATAC